TTTTTGTTGCTGTTGTTTTTTGTCTGGCAAATTGATTGGCTTTTAAATGAATTTGCTGTCATACGACGGAAATTTAATTGCATTGAACTGCGAGCAGGCAATGCAAATGCCAAAAAAAAAAAAATTAAGACGAAAAAGAAAAACCTAAATGAAAGTCACACCTACTGTGGGCGTGGGCGTTCAGCTGGTTGTTGCTTGCTTGGCTGCGCTTTAATTAAAAGCCAGTCGTGTCTTATCTGCAGCAGCAGCTGAGAGCTGAGAGAGAGACGGGCTGTACGTGTTGTATGTCAAATGCAATCAAAATACAGCGTTTGCTCCATTTACAGATTGGCATCGAAATCGGCACAAGCCGATCGCCCAAAGCGATGATGGCTGTGAACCAGTTGTTATCTATTTCAAAGATGATTTGCACGCTAACGCGAGCGGACAGCTTGACAGTTACAATTGCGCAGCATATCGATAATGATGTTGTGCCTGACGATGCTGACGACGATGATGATGCTGATGATGATGATGCTGCATGCATGCATGCGCGGTCAGGCTAGGCAATTGAGGCAACGGCAACTATTTCAAGCTGACTGCACTATCATTTATCACAGCGCTTGCGCCCATTCTCAGCAACTGGCTCAAACAGAGCGGCGATCATTAGCGGCCATAAGCAGAAACTTCCTCATTTAAATAGTCGTAATGTTGCCTAATTAATTTACGAGCTGCTTTTGGCCGCTCTTTATGATTTATGGGTCTAGGCATGCGCAGTCTTATGCGAGATTTGCTAACACGACAACGAAAAGATACAACAATATTTGGCTAATTGCGTGCTGGCCAAAAAAGCAACAACAAACAAAAAAAGGCGCGCTCAATTAGCGTCGAAAAAGGCATAAAAACATATATAAAAACATATACATACATATATATTTTTGATATGCAAATGATTAATGCGCTACAATCATTTCAGTTGCCAAAAAAGAAATAAAGTGCTGTAGACATTTCTATAAAAATTTTATGGCTGAAGCAATGCGCCCAAACAAAAGACTTAGGCAACGAACTTGACTGATGCTGATGCTACTACGAGACGCGCTGCTGTTAAACGGTTGTTGACCCACGCCAAACACCACACACAACATGACACACACACACACACACACACATTCAGATCGTGTGTTTTGTTATGCTAAATCTATAAATAACTGTAAAACGCTTCGATTGTTGTGTGTTTTGTGAGGCGTTAGTAATAAATCTGTGCACATTAAAGCCACGGACATTGTTTACGCTCTGACAATTGCGTGAAACTAACAAATTAACACAGTCAGCAATTGGAGGGGGAGAAAGTCTTAGCCGTAATTGGCTGTTAAGCATTTGTGGCCATAAACAACAGTTTTTGCTTTTGGTTTTTGGCCGCCGGCTGCAGCAGCCGCTGCTGCATAATTAACGCCAAAGCGAAAAGAATTTTGTGGCCAAAAAGGCGCAACAACAAATTTAGTTGGTGGCAGCCGCTGCTGCGTAATCATAAATTATGGCCGCAAATTGCAGGCCAGCTGCCGCTGCCGCTGCCTTGGCACTTTCCTCTGGCATCGTCTAGCTAAATGGACACAATTAACCTGTATCTCGGTTAGTTGAGCCTGCCCCAGCCCAATCCCCCAACCGCTCCGCTGATGCTACCAGTTCCGCTTGTCAATCAAATAGACACCAAGTGCGCCATGTTGCGGCTGCTGCGTCTAGTTTTAATTAAAAAAGCTTTTTTTGCAGCGCAGAAAATGGTAGCATCCACAGTTGCCAGTTTTAATTAAGGCGTTACGGCCTGCCTGCCTGCCTGCCAGCCCGCCAGAAGCTGCGTCTGCATAGCCAATGAGTCTATTGGCAGCGGCTGCATTTAACACTCTCGCTTCAGTTGATGCGTTTCTGCGCTGTGGCAGCAAGCGCTTTGGCATTTAACCCAATAAAGCGCCTGCCACACACACTCATACACATACATACACACATTAATTGGCATGTCAGGCAATTAGAAATCACAGATAATTTAGCAGCCAGAGCGCCCACACACGAATCGAGCTACAGTCGTATCGAAAATTTACATTGCTCAGCTTGTCAATAAGGTGTACCAGGTCTTAACATGTTTTTCGCAGCAGCCCACACACAGTGTGTACACACTCACACATGTCAATGGCTGCTGGGCTAACAAGCCATTGTTGACACATTGCAGCCATGTTAGAGCCATGTCATTGCAGTTGGCTTGTGGGTGTATTTTGGACGCACGTAATTGGATCAGAAGCTGCATAGAGAAAGCCGCCGCCAATAATCAAATTATTTGCAACTATTCAGCTGACTTATAAGGCTGTACAAGTGTGTGCGAGTGTGTGTGTGTGGCTTTAAGTAGTTTTTATGGCGCTGTCCAGCTGGTTGGCTTATTTGGTTATGACTTCATTTGCAGCGCTGAGCGTGGTGAAAGTGCGCGAGATGCATCAAAAATAAATCAAATAAAGTGCGCTGACGTTGCGCTTAATGCGGCATGGCCTTTATGAATGGCCATTAAGTTGATGCTGTCTCAAGTTCGTTGCCTAACTCATTCGTTTGCGCACATCAAATTTCATAATGATCGCCCGATTCTCGGCTCGCTGATAAAGATAAAAACAGAAAAACAGAAGAAAAAAAAAACGCACACAAAAAGTCGTTAAGCCAGCCGCAGCGACGCCTGTGCTTGGCATTTCAAATAAGTTTCGAATTTCATTTCAGTTTTTTATTAATATTTTTTTCTTGTCGTAATTTCTTATGTGAACCTTTTTTATATATTTGTTTTTTTTTTCGTGTTGTGTATCGCACTGTTGACAATGTAGACACCGAACGACGCACCTTTTGACACTTTGCCGCGCTGCCGGGCGGCTTATCCATGCCGTCAGCGGCTTTGAGAACTGGATCGGCTTTTTGTTAAGCTTTCTGCTTATCCTTGGCACCGCACTGGCCCGCCTTATGGGCGGCAATTTTTGTGATTTTGGGTTCGGTTAGACGTAATTCCTGCGCGTGGCTTATATATCCGCAACGCAGTTATGCTGTTATGCTATTCTGTTAAACTTTGGCACTCGGCAACGGTAAACGACAGATCTGGCGCACGACAAACTTGAAGCGGAATCGACCCCGGGGACCCGATTCACAATGACAACAACGATGCGCGCTGGCAACAGGTGCAAACCGTTCGCGTTCGCTGTCGCTCTCAAACTGCGCACTCGCACATGCCCGGGAATGTTAAGAAAAAAGGCATGAACTCTCAGTGCTGTTAAATAAATTGTTGTGTGCTTTTAGGCTGCACTATATGTTATGCTGAATTCTCATTATTATTGTTTGCCCAATTATTAATTCTTTTTAAGTAGTTTATTTACATTAATTGCATGCAAAGAATTATTGGTTTTTTTTTCTTGTAACAAGCTTTACGTTAATGTTAAGCAACTGCACTGTTAACCCAACAACTGTTATGGCTGCTGTCTGGCTCTGTGTGCGAAATCTGATCACGAACGCTAGATGGCGCTACAGCTTATAAAAGTCGCCTACAAGATGCAGCACTTTTTGAAATAAACAATTTGGCTTTAAAAAATAGAGATTTAAATACAATTTTCTTTAGATACCCTGCATTTACTATATAATGTATGTGTATAAATATGTATGGGCTGTATTTTAAATGTATCATTTCTCAATTTTATTGAGAGCTGAAAAGTCTCTCAAGAACAGAACGATTAACAGCTAGCTGTCTGTCGATTGTTTGCCAAAGCAATATATATATTAAATAATTAATTCTCGCGATTGGCCCCCAACTGATTCTTAATACTGTACAAAATATGCGAAATTTGAAAAAATCTTAATGTGTCTATAAATATGTGCTTGTTAATTAGAGTAGGCAAGAAGTTCAAGGTCACCTGCATTTCCCAAGACCGCATATTGAGCATAATAATGCCAGTTAGTTGGTCAATATGTGTATGCCACAAGAGGCCGACGCTGGCCGGTCATTAAGTCGGATACGACATTAACGCTTGATGGTTTGTTGCGGTCTGTGGGTTAATTAGGGATCAAACAATGCGAACGAGAGCGGAAATGTTTGCTTTTTTTTCCGAGCGTTGACTTATGATTTATGAGCGAGACTTCAAAGAGCGCTGCAGCGTGTGAAGCTGGCGCCTGGGGGAGCCCCAAAAGAAACTTACCCAGTACATAGTATCAATAGATTATGGAATCAATGTGTATGCAATTGTTGGCTTACCTGCAATAGAAAAACAAAATAGAATCAAATTAAATGCGTATTAAATGTGGCATATAATTAATATAGGTTAGCTTAGCGTATACGATGGGTTGCTATCAGAAAATCAATTTGGCTAATTGCAAACATAATGGCCTCGTTAGTCGACACATTTCAACAGACACCAACGACGAGCAGCAACTGGAGCCAAATGCCAAATGAACAGCGGCAAATGTGCGGACAACTTTTTGACACGCAATCGGCGTGGTGGGAGCGTTTATTAGCCAAATAAAATAACCCCCAAAGTGTCATCAAATCAATGCAAAGTAGCAGAAATCGAACAGCGGGACCGCCCACAAACTGGACAAAATGGGAAACTTTTCTGTTGGCAACATTTGCAAGAGCCATTAAAGTGCTTTGCCTGTAGCCAGGCACCACGGTGCGGTGCTCAGAGGCCTCTAAACGAAAATGGGCAATTCTGTTGCCCATAAAACGTCGTAATAATGGCAAAAGTTAGCGCCCGGGCGGAATACTAGGACACAGGTGTGTCCTTTGGCATGAAATAGTTTTCCACTGCCAAGCCAGGCTAATAGATTTTCTGTGTCTGGCAATCAATAGACGTCTATTCCACGGGGAGTGTAGCCCAACTCGTAAATAAGTTCGATTTAAAGAGACTTTTTCTTGGGCGCTTGGCTATGAAAGCGAGATATATATATTAATAAAAAAAAATGAAGTCTAGTTGCCGCTCAGAAAGAAACTTCTGGAATTAAAAATTCTCCACATATAAAAAGAAAAAATGGACTTTATTTGAACAACTAGCAATTTATGCGCATGACATCCGAAAGTATGCCGACATTCGGATCAGCCCACATGCAACGCGTATTTCATAAGAAACTGTTGCATATTTTGTTCTGTTACAGTGAACACTCGAGCGTATGCTACAATTTTGTTGGGAAAAACTGCAGCCCCGGCAGCTCTGCCGAGAGTAGCAGAAGCCACTGGAAGCGCCACAAAAAGAAATCGGCCAAAATGCCACAAAGCTGGCGACTAAATATACTCGGTGCTCTCTATAACGGATACCACATTCTCGGCCATGTCGCAGAGCTGAGTGTAGGTGTGAATGTACAGCGAGTCTCTGAAGTACTTCTTGCCACGCATTTTTTTAAGCACATACACCTCAGGCTGCAGATATTTTAGCTGAAGCAGCCAGGGCTTGGTCTCTTCCTCATCGGAGGAGCCATGCTCGTCGTCTAATTTCGACTCCTTGGCGAGCTGAGCATAGAAGCGGACCAGCTCGGACTTGAAGCAGCTTTGCTCCAGGCCAAGCATCAGGTCCTCCCATTCCTCGATGCCATTGCCAATGCAGCCGCGAACGTAGATGAAACGCGAACGTTCCCGCTCGCTATTGTGCTCGAAGCGGACTAGGGCCGCATCGGTGCTGCAGAAGAGCGGCTCCTGCATGCCGAGGAAGATCTGAAAATAAACCTCACGCTGCCTCACCTCGGGCATGCGCATTATGAGCTGCTTGATGGTCTCCAAGCGCAGATCCCAGGGCGGCTCCCGTGGCAGCTTCAAGGCGTTGTGTAAAACGCGCAGCGCCTCAAGATCATCAAACCGTTCACAATGGTAGCCCACATTCAGGGAATTGAACACCTCGCGGTCATCAAATGCACGCTCATAGGGACATGCGCGCTCACCGGGCTTTATCAGCGGCACCAGCTCCGCTTGGTGGTTAAGCAGACTTTTGAATACCTCATCATTGGCCTTGTCGACCACCTGGCGCAGCTGCTTGTTGATTTTCCGCATGTACTCCGGCGGCGGCACGCACTTGCCGAACAGCTGCAATATCACCGAATTGCGACGGCTGCAGAAGATGTTCGGAAAGATTTTCAGCTCCCAGCGCTGTTTGCGCGCAAAGACCGTGTGTGGATTGAAGAGGGCATTGATGATGTGCACCTCGCCTGGCTGAATCTTCCGTCTGCTGTGATTAAACAGGAAGCAGGCGGCACATGTGTTAAACACTTTAGCATTCCGCTTGTTTAGATCCATTGGCTGCCATTCGCAAACGAGAACCCGACGACCAATGTTCTCCAGGCGCAGCACTTGCTTCACCTGACGCTCATAGGGTGTGCACTCGAAATATACCTTCACTTCCATGTTGTACGCGAAACGATCATCCATAACAAATGTCCGTTCGTTGATCTTGAGGCCAACGTTAATGGGTGGCGGCTCGAACATCAACAGGGAATATTGTATTCCCCCGCCTTCTTCCTCCTCCACCTTCTGCTCATTCAGGCTGCAGTTGTCGGTTATGCTGCTTATGGTAAGGAGTGACTGCTTGTGCATAAGATCTATTTCCGAGTCATGCACCCATTTGATATCTGCCAGAGGATTATTGCCAACTACTTCTAGATTGTCCAAGTCCGGAAAGTATTCCAACACACGCTCAATATCCTTAGCCTTTTGATCGATGCTCTCTTCCAGCACCTCAGAGTTAAGCCATTTGCTGCGATCCTTGATCTTTCGTGATGTCAGATCGTGCTTGGAGCCAAGTATTTCCCTTTTCGTGGCTTTTGTTAGTCCAGCTATTTCCACATCAGCCTCGCCCGCCAGCTCCGCTTTGGGCACCGTCTCCCATACTTCCGGCTTACAGACACATTGCTCGGCATCATAGTGTCCGGGCATCACACCGTATTGCTTCTCCTTCAGAGTAATGGGATTCATGCGAGTAGCATAGTCCATTAGACGCTGGACGGTGCCCTTGTCGCGCTGCTCCACGGTGATGGGCACATTGAAGAGCATCTCCTCGGGCCGGCGACCTGTCTTACGTGATATTTTATCCTGCATTCGGGCACGATCACGCAACGTGTCCTGCCAATGCTTGAGGCGTTTATCCATTTCCTCCGAATCTCTAAACTCCTCATTGATCGAGCATCGCGAACTTGAGATGTTGGCCACGCCGTCTCTGCGCGCAAAGATCGCTTTGACAATGTCATCGACAACCACCTGGCCATCGTTCAGAGTCAATTGCTTTAGCTCACCGAATTGATCAAATACTTCAATTGTGTTGAGCGACTTGAGCGAAAAGGTGTTGGCCTTGCTGAGATTGTTTTCCGCCTGCATCGACGTTATCAAAGACCCAAAGCGATTTCTCTTTAACATTGTGTTCTATTAATGTGTGTTCAAGTGTTTAAATATTTACAAATATTTTCTGTATTTTTTTTATTTCGTTGTACAGTATTTGGGTCGGATGTAAATTTATGTCTAGACCTGCTCAGTGCTCTCGATGACGGAGACAATATTTTCGGCAACGTCGCACAGCTGATAGTAGGTGTATATATAAATTGAATCTCGAAATGATTTCGAGTGTAGGAGCCGCTTCCGTGTCCGAGCACCAACTGAGCTGGACTCCACTTCTGTTTGCTGTCGGCGCTCGGCAAGCTTGAGAATTTGTGCAGACAGCGCCCAAATCTTCTGCTCCCACAATTCAATGCTATTCGATATGATGCCACGCACATAGATGTATCTGGTGCGCTGGCGTTCCCTTAGCTTGGCTGGGGCATCGCTCAGGCTGAGCGGCGTTGTGCGGCCACGCAGCTCCGACAGCTGCAGTTGTAGCTGCTCGAAAAGATTGACGCGCAGCCGTTCATCCTCCTTGGAGCAGACCAATTCAATTAGCATGCTTACACTGTAATCCCATTCCAAGTTGCACAGATCTGGTCGAACCAAGCAAAAGAACCTTTTCAAGCCCTCAATTTCGGTGTCGCGTTCGCAGTGAAAGCCCACGTTGCGCCGATTAAAAGCCTCGCTCTCCTCCAGCTCCCTTGCGAACGGGATGAGAGTTCGTGGTGGCTCCAGCGGTATTGGAGTGGGCAACTGTTCCACTGTGGCCGACTTTCGGCAATCTCGTATTGTTGGATGCGTATACTCTCCGATCAGCTGTAGATACTCCAGTGGGGGTGTGCACCGGCCATGCATGTTCAGAGTCAGGGCACAGGGACAACGAAAGAAAATGCGCGGATAGGTCTTGAGCAGCCAGCGCTGCTTCACAATGCCCACCTTGCTGGGACGGAAGAGCACCGAGACCTCACGCACGTCGCCTGGCCGCAGCAGAAAGGGTTCCGTATCGAAGACAAACACCTCGTTGGGCGAGTTGAAAAGTGTGTTGTTGTAGGCAAAGAACTCGGCGCGATTCCAGCTAAAGTTGATTGCCTCCCGGCCATTGTTCTCGATGCGCATAATAGTGCGCAGGCTGCGCTCGTACGGATTGCAAACGAACCTCCGCTCCAGTATCGGCGAATACTCCGGCCGATATCGGCGGTAGGTGGTGCCATTGATGAGCACCGCCAGCTGCGAGGCAAAGGCCGCTACCGGCTTCAACTTTAAAGATGTATTGCTACCCATCGATATTTGTAAGGCACGCTCGGATAACACGGCTGGAGTTAGTAGGGATATTGTATGACCAGATAGACGCTCGCAGAGCTGTCTTAGCCAAATATTCCTGCCAATCAGCTCGAGCTCATCGATGTCTGGACAATACTCCACCACCTTTTTAATGTCTGCTTCCTTTTCCAGCAAGCGGCTAGCAAGCAGCTGTGAATCGCACCACCTGCTCCTTGTGCTCGCGGCGCCATCCAGCTCCAAGCTAACCTGTTTTGGTAGGCCCACAATCTCAACGTAGTCTTGTGGCTTGGCAAAGGTTATCTCCAAAGGATCCACACGCAGCCCAGCTGTTGTTGTGCAGGAATCCCTGCGCGAGATGTGCTCCAGAATTCGCTTGATGCTCTGCTCCTCCCGATTGCTCACGTTGAGGAGCAACTGCTGCGGCTGTCTGCCCGTGGCCAGGCACAGTTTTAGCTGCTTGGCGCGACGCTGACGTATCATATCCTTCCAGTATTTCAAACGCCTGTCCACAAAGCTTGGCGTTGAGCCTGGAGTGGAGGGCAGCTCTGGCTGGGAGTCAGATTCCTCGTAATGACATTGCTGCAGCTGAAAGATGTCATCTACGATTTTATTGATCAACCGATTGCCATCATTCACGTCCGCAGTCGATGATTCGTAGTTGTTGAGTAGATTTGTCATGAAACCAGACCAGACTGTTTATTCAATGCTACCTAAGGCTAAAAATTTTCGGTATTGTGTAACATGTGTGTCAGCTGTAGAAATTAAAATGACAAGTAATCAGGTGGAACAGAGAGATGTACAAAAAGAAAAAAAAAATAGGGCTGAGTGGAATTCAAACAAGAATATAAATTCGATAGATCTCTTAAAAGACTTTGCTAAAATCTTTGTAGCTGCTAAAAACAAGAAATTTCAAATAGGCTTGAGAATTGCGTTTGCCCAGAACCTCAAGAGGGCACCACATCGGTGCTCTCAATGATCGAAACAATATTCTCAGCCATGTTGCACAGATGCGAGTAGGTTTGAATGTAGAGGGCATCGCGAAAGTATTTGGAGCGATGCAACTTCCTCATGACGGCGGCGGTGGCCTTGCTATCCAAATACTTTTCAATCTGATCGATGTCGAGATTGGCAAAATCGATTTTCACTGGCCCCAAATCGAGATGCTCGCCCTCCTCTGCGGCCTCTTCCATTAGGTGGATATAGTAGCGGCGCAGCTCGGGCTTGTAGTAGGATTCCTCGATAATGGAGACCAAATCCTCCCATTCCTCGATGCCATTGCAAATGGCGCCACGTACATAAATAAATCTGGTGCGTTGCTTCTGCTCATTCAAGCGATCTTCGCACTCCAGGCTAAGGGAAGTCCCTTGCAGCGTTTCCATTATGACCACCAGGTTGCCAAACATTTCCTCACGTTCCGGCAAGCTCTCGATGCGCATAATGAGCATCTTGATGGTGTCCAGGCGTAGGTCCCAGTGTGGCTCGCGTGGTTTCTTCAGTTGCTTGTGCATGCCCTTGAGCACCTCCAGATCATCGAAGCGCATGCAATTGTAGCCAGGATTTAGGGTGTTGAACAGTTCACGCTCATCCAGAGTGCGCTCATAGGGACAACAGGCGGGCGGTGGCTCAATCAGCGGCACCAGCTCCGCCAGGTGGCCCGTCAGCTGTTTCATCATCAGTTCTTTCGCCTGGCCCATGGTGGTGCAGTGTAATTGCTTCAGCCTGGCCATGTACTCTCTGGGTGGCCTGCATCGTCCATGGAAACGCAGCAGCATCGACTCCTGGCTGCCGCAAAAGATGCGCGGCTCCACCTGCAGGCGCCACAGCTCGACGGCCATGCTAACCTTGCGTGGCTGATACATGACAATCAGGTCGTGGCTTTCGCCGTAGGTGAGCCGAAAGTTGTCCGTGTCGAAGAGGAACTCATTGTCCTGGGCGAGCAGCAGTGAGCCGCGATTGTAGTAGTAGACACCCTGTGACCATTTGAAGGACAGGGCCTGCTTGCCAATGTTCTTCAGCTTAAGCACATGCTTGATGCGTCTCTGGTACGGATCGCAATTGAATTTGGTGAGCAATTCGAAGCATTCGGTAAAGGGCTTGTCACACACAACATACTCCTTGTTATTGATCATGAGTCCAATCTCTGGCGGCTCAGGCTCCGGTTCGGGCTCCATCTCCAGAAGTGCCCCCGTCCACGATTCGTTTAGCTGCTCTTCTGAGCCCATATTTTCCGAGCTGGTCGTTATCCTGACGATTTGCTCCTCGTCAAGCAGCATAGTTCTTGCCTTGGGCTTCAGCTTGGCTATGTTTGTGCCCTTCACCTGCAGCTGTTCCAGGTCGGGGAAAAACTCGAGCACTTTGCATATATGACGGAACTGCTCATCGATGCGCGTATCCAGCACACCTGACTTCATCCAGCTGTGCTGCAGCTCCCGATTGTCCACGCCGAGCAGCTCCTGCTGTGTCACCGCGGGCAGTCCAATGATTTCCACATCCGTGGCACCTTGTCGCTCCGCTTGCGGCCAGGTCTCATCAATGGGTTTGATGAGCTTGCACGTGCAGGGATCCTTCCGTTCTTTGAGTGCACTTATTGGCTTGGTCATCAGTTTAATCGGTTCCAGGCGCTCTGCGAAGTCCATGAGCCGCCGCACCGTCTCCTTGTTGCGATGGTTGAGCGTTGAGCGGCGATTGAAGAGCACCTGCTCCGGGCTCTTGCCGGTCTGTAGCTCGACACGTTTCTGCATTTGACGACGGGTCTGTAACATATCGCGCCAGTACTTCAGCCGCTTGTCCACATGCGGCTCAGCGGCTGGCCTGGACAGGTCCACTTTGCTTGGGTCACAGGACGAGGATGTTTCGGGAAAATGGCCACGACGCTCCGCAAAGATCTCGGCCAGTATGTCCTCCACAATGCGCTCGCTATACTGGGTCATGCTGGCGCCAGCCTGCAGCTGCCCTATTGCCAGATCCTTGAGGGATTGCCTTGTGGATGGCGCATTGCTGGTCCAGTTGACCATTGTCAGCGGTGTGAACAACGTATCGAATATTTTCTGTTCATCCCCTTTGGTTCGGCCGTTCGGTTGGGGCTCCATGATTGATTATAATTGTTATGTAGGTATATATTGGAAATATGAATGCTTTTCTAAAGCATTGAAATACTATATTTAGTGAACGATTTTGATTTGGAATTGCTTTTTGGCAAGTCAGGGGGGGGGGGGGCGCTACAAATCTCTAAAAAAAAAAGGTACAAATATTCGAATTCGAATTGAAGGACAAACGGAAACTAGATGTTCACAAAATCCTCGACTAGCATATGATTCACAGATTCGCAGTGCTCTCGATGGCGGACACAATATTCTCGGCGGCATCACAGACCAGCGTATAGGTTTGTATATAAAGCGCATCCTTAAAATACTTGCTACTCATGACCTTCCTGGATACGAGCCATTCCACATAGTCTGAATCAATGGGCAGCTTCTGGCCCTCCGCTTCCATATCATTAACATAGCGCTGCAGATCGCACTTGAAAAACTGCTGGCCCAAGGTCTCGCTCAGGGCCTCCCACTCCTCAATGGTGCTGCAAACAATGCCGCGCACATAGAGGAAACAGGAGCGTTCGCGGTGCTGATTGAAATGCGAATCGCCGAACGAGTCATTCGAATTGCAGCGCATCGGTCCCAGCAGCTCGCTGAGAATATTCTGCAGTGTTACGCGCTGCTGCGGCTTGTGCTGGTAGATGCACTGCCGCATCGTGTCCAGGCGATAATCCCAGGCTGGCTGGCGCGGCTTCTTTACCAGCGAATATAGCTCCTTGAGCGTCTCCAGATCCGCATAACGTACGCACTTGAAGCCCGGATTCTGTGCCGAAAATAGCTCACGCTCGTCCAGGGAACGCTCGTAGGGACATTGCAATGTGGGGCAATCCACAATGGGCGCCAGCTCGGCATGCAGCTTAGTCAGTCGCTCGGCGACCTGATGGTTGCGCTTGTCCACGACCACACGCTGATCCCGATCGAGTCGTTCGCAATGGCAAACGGGCAGCGTGCAGATGCCATGGAAGCGAACATATAGACGACGCGCGCCACAGAATGGGGAGCGCAACATGTTCATGCACCAGCGCTGCTTCTTGATGCCCACCTTAACGGGCTGGTACATGACATCGATGCGTCGCTCCTCGCCGGGCAGCAGCACAAAGGGATTTGTGTCGAACAGGAATTCCGAGTTGTAGACCATGTGCTGCTGCAGCTCCTTATTCTGAAGGCTGCTCATCTGCCAGCGTACTTGGACGAACTTGGTGCCAATGTTCTTCAGCTGGACGATGGTCTTGCACACCCGCTGTATCGGATCGCACTTAAAGTACAGAAGCAGCTCGCTGCTGAGGACGCCGCTGATGTCGCCGAAGCCATAGGCTTGTCCATTGATTCTGATCACATTGTTAACGGTCCAGGCGGCGTTTTTGTCGGCCACCGGCGGCGGCGGCGGCAGTGGCTGCTCTTTGATAGCTTCAGTCACGGCCATTGCAGCCTGGCTTGTCTCGGTCGACACTTCGAACATCGTATCCTCGCCCAGGCGCTTGCTGTCCATGATTGGCACACCGGACGGCTTGGGCAGCGATGAGACCTGCAGCTGTTCCATCTCGGGGCAGTATGCTAGCACACGCTTGATGTTTTCCGCCTGTGCCTCCAGTCGCTCGCCCAACACCTCCGAGCGCAGCCATTGACTCTCGCCCGGCGCTTGTGTACCGGCCAGCTCCAGCTGTGTTACCTGTGGCAGGCCCACAAATTCCAGCGTTTGCAGTTTGGGCTCCGTGACGCGCATTTCGGGCAACTCACGGCACAGTTCCAGTTGCTGGCGCATCTTTAGCGCACCCCCGACTCGGGTGGGGGGCACACCTTCGCTGCGCTCGGCCGAGTCCATGAGACGTAAGAGCATCCGCTTGGTCTGCTCATCGATGGTGGCATGCCGATTGAAGAGCACATCCTCGCCCCGCTTCCCAGTGTGCCGTTCAATTCGGCCCTGCAACACTTTGCGGTCGCGCAACACCTTTTTCCAGCATTTGAGTCGCGGATCCATATCATCGTTATCATTTTTAATGATTTTCTTACGATAGTTGGTGCAATCACTGCTGGAAATTTTCGTCTGATATGTTTCATCCTTCTGGATCACTTGGAAGACATCATTCACCAATTCTTCGGTTAAATACTTTGGCATCTCATTTTTGTTGCGACAAACGCCCTCGATTGTGAGATAGTTCACGTCTGAAGTTATTTCTAAATTCCTGCTCATCTTGCTGCTGCTTCTCAATGCGAGTTTTGTATATGAATCGACTGATTGTTATCGCAGAGGTGTGCCTAGTACTTGACTACTCTACATACTGGCTACACTGGGCTACGTAGCTTACTAAATATTTAACAGACAGACTAATTGCCAATCCAGAGCAATCGATTCACAATAGCATCCTTTGTTTATTTATTATGATCTACGCAGAATCCACCCAAGTAAATGTTTCTTGCTAACAAAACTAATCGAAATGCAGGGACAAAAAGTTGATGAGGAAAGCGCTTATGAAATATGGAATTCTGTTGAGTAATACCCTCTTAAAATTGGGCTACAATAACTGTCATAGTTGGAGCTTGTAGTTTATGCTGTTTACGTGTGCTTTGATGCTATATTACAAAGTTGACAGTGCCCAAGTTTTGGCTATAGGCAAATGGCAATTTATGCAGGAGAATTGTGCTAATTTGCTAACAATCCACAGAAAGTAAATTAAATTCACGAAGCGCGCGCGCGCGTGTCGTGTGACAAGTCATCGTTATTTTCAACAACATACCCACTGGCAGCACTCCTTCTGCCATACCCCACAAATCCTCCATTTCCATTCAGACTCAACGACATTGACGTGCCGCCTTCACACAATTCAAAATTGCCAAAGTCTCTTATTGCTGTTGTTGTTGTTGTTGTGTCTGGGCAACAAAGTGAAAGGAGTTGTCGTGGTGGAAAACAAATGAAACTTACCTGCAACGAAAGAAGGGCGAAAATAAAAGCTGATTTATAGACAATGCATGATTCGTTTGATATAATAGTATTCACATATATATATATATATATATTATGATATTTATGATAGTTGCAGCGCTCATTAATAATTTTTAAGGACCCACGCAATTGAGTGCAAACTTAATGCTGCAATCAAAACTTCAGACTTTTGTTGCCATTGTGCGGCGCAGTCTTTGTGGCTTTGGCTGCAACAATACAGAAACAGAAAAACAAAAAGGCAACAATAGAAACGGCAACTTATAGAGCTTACAAAAAACAAAGCCATATCAATTACCCAGGCAACCAGGCAATAACAACAACATTAACAAAAGAAGAGAATAAGGCAAAATAAAGTAATTTAGTCCTGGCAAAGCGCAAAGCCAACTAACCGCAGCAGAGGAAACATGCCCCGCTGCAGCTCCTCCGGCGCAGAACTGGCCGCAATTTTTGCCTTGGCCGGAAATGCTGGCATTGTGCATGAGCTTGGGGAGCTCTGGAGCAAATGTTCTTGGAGCATGTGGCTCATCTACGTGCCTTGGCGAAATGCAATCAACATATTGTAATTCTGAAATGCATATTGAGAACGTGCAACAGATACTTGCAGCAGCACTCGCACAATGCGCATGCAATGCGAAACTTTGGGCTGCACTTAACGGGCCGCCAGACAAAAACAAAACGCTGCAAGCATGTGGCTGAGGGGGGCAGATTGGCAGAGGGGGTGGCAAGGGGTGCGGTGCCACATCGACATCGACAACTGCGCGGCTGCACTTGATGCCGCAGCAGCATCAGCAGCAGCAGCAAAAATCTGGCAGTGTTTGCATTTTGATTTCCATTTCGCATGCACTCAAGTAATGCATTTATTATTTACCAGCCATGCAAGAGGTGAGGGTGAGGCAGGGGAGGGGAGGGGAGGGAAGGGGAGGGGGCAGCTCAGGCAACTCAATTCAATTCCGCAAATTCATGCTGCAGTTGTCAACGGCGCAGACGAAGACACTTGTGGACGAGCTGTTAACCCCTCTCCACCCCCCTTCATTGCCAACATTCTGCTGCTCGAATGTTGCACATGTTGCATACCACTTGGTGCTGTTGACAGCCGGCAGCGGCAGCCAGCAGCAGCCGGCAGCAATACTCAGACGGCAACTGTTGGCGCTTCTTGAGTGAAGACAGACGGCCAGGACAGGCAGCCAGGCAAATATACTTATTTACCTATACCTAGGGTATATGCACTTTACTATCGGATTTGTTTAAGAGACAAAAAAAATATGTAAGCATATACAAGTAGTTTCTCAAGCTGCTTTAAAGCAAGAGTTTACTTAAGCAGTGTTGCAAAATATTGCACAAATGTTGACATTGCGCAATACTGTTTATGATGGCGAAATCTGCTCTATGCAGTGTTGCAAAATATTCGCTATAGTAAATTCATGTGTTGGTCAAGTCGAAAAAAAGCAGTTGCTTTTACTTATTAAATAAGTTGGAATATAGAAACTATATCGGATGAAACTCCATTATAGTGGAACTCTCTTCTCTCTCTCTACTATCTTCTCTATCTATTCTCTCTACTCTCTTTTCTCTCTACTCTCTCTATTCTCTCTACTCTCTTCTCTCTCTACTCTCTTTTCATACCCTTCCCCAACCAAATTTATATTCTTCTTGGCTTTTCACTTTATTCGCACCACATCTTTATCATCATGTTAGGGCATTTCTGGCTGCGACATAAGCCCAAACTAGTTTCTCCATCTTGTTATTCCATAACAAATACCGATTTATACATATGTACATAAATTTTTATACCCTTGTCGGTTGTTGCGGCCGTTAGCTTTTTTTTATGCAAATGCTGCATTAGATGACATCCATAATAATCAAATTTTTATTGAATGAATTGCGAGCTGTAAACTTGCAGCATTTATTCAGAATTAGCTGGACGCGAGGCCAAATCCATTGAGCAGCCAATTGCCAGTGGCCAGTGGCCAGTAACCAGTTGCCAATTGGCAATTGTGGCCACAAAAAGTGCGTTACAAATAACTGCACTTTTATTGAGCGATACCGTTAGACGCTAGACGCCCAATGGCCGCCAGGGCGATCGAGTTTAAAATCGAGCTCGATTCGGATTCGGGTTCGGTTCGAGTTGACTCGATTTAATTGCTGTGCAATTTGTGCAGTCACTAGTGGAATGTGCTGTCAAATTGTGGCACTTAATTAAAACATATTGAATGCCCAGTTAAATGAACCAAGGCACTACGAAGTGATCGACTATGAGATGCCCTGTAGGGTCGGGTTAAGATAAGCTTAGTATGCATCGTTCCTTAGAGAAAGATTTTAGCAGATCTTATCTTCGAGTAATGCTTCCGGGGGTAGATAACAACAAGAAAATACAGCTGTATTGGGCTTGTTAAGCTTTGTGTTAATCGATTGCTCCTTTAGGAATCATATGATATAGTATTCCGATTTGAAAGCTAAGCAGATGTGTTTAGAGCTAAGCGAACCTCATAATTGATAAGGATATCATAAAAATCACACACATTTTCTTAGAAAGAAACTAATTCCCGATCCAGATATCTCCGTCCCTCTTTATTTTGATTATTTAAAATTTTTTATTTAACGATTTATGAATATCTTTCACTTTCGCTTTAATTATTTGAGATCAAGGAGATAAAATAAAGAAACGGACAGCTAGGCAAGTCGAATGATTGTAGATCGCTTGTTCATTCCGATAATTAAAATATATATTTAGAATATAAAGTCTATCTTGGCTGAGTCCCACTGTCTGTTACACTAAAAAGCACAACATGGTCAAAATTCCCTTTCTCCATTTACATTCAGTACAGGGTATATAAACTGCGCTTTTAATTTTACACGACCAAATTGCCAGCAGGCTGCCACATTTGCGGCAAGTTTTCGAATGTTGCAGTTGCAACTGTTGTTGCTGCTTGGGGCATTTGAAAGTTTCGAATACTTTTGTTTATTTACCTCACTTCGGCCGATTTGATGATCGCCTTGGGCGGCGCATCCCAATAGTTGGGCGCGGGTGGCACCCATTGGCGCAGCACTTGATAGTTGCCCTCGAGCAGCTCCATGCCCTCGATGACCTCCACATCGGAGTCGCCATCGTTATTGGCAGCGGATGCAGCGCAGCCAGCAGCAGCAGCGGCAGCAGCAATGTTGTTGCTGTTGTTATTGTTGTTGCTGTTATCGGCATGCAAATTATCAATGGAATCGCTCATTGTCAACTCCAGCTGCGGTTTTTGGCGCTGCATTCACTGTCGGCAGCGGCGCTCAGATGTGGCAAGGTAAACAAAGATGCGCACAGCCATTTGCGCTGAGTCACAGATACACACACACACACTGACACACACACTGGCACAGACACAAAGAACTATTGCTAGAAGAGGAAGCAGCAGCAAAACAATAACAAGACGCAACTCGGCTGCTTCTTGAACTTTGCCGGGATTTTTTCTTAGAATAAAACTATATAATTTTTATATTTTTTCTAACAATTTCCGATGGGTTTTAGCACACTTTTGTTTTTGTTTTTTATTAACAATTTTATAAATTTTGTTATTTGTATTATCAGCGTTGTGACAGCGCTCTGTTTGGGCTGGCAGCGGCGCGCGGCGCTCACGTTGCACTCACGAATTGTTTCTTTCTAATCGGCGAAAATGTTCGTTGCGTTTGTTTTGGCACGAAAACTTGACAAGCACGGCGAAAACACATCGCACAAAAGCAGAACGCAACAACAAATACACTCACACACACACACACATACACACACACTCTCACATACAGAGCGGGGTTAATATCTGGCATTTGCGTTTGCATCCCTTGTGGCGCAGAGCTCGACTCGAGTCGCCCCTTTGTTGTGCCGCGTCCTTGGTCCTGGCACGTTTCGCTGTTTCAGTTTCAGTTTCAGTTTTGTGTCTCGGTTTTCGTTCGCCTTCGCTTTGCCGGCTTTTCCTTCTTTCTGTTTTTTTTTTTAGTGTGTAAAATAAGGGTTTGTAATTTAATGTTTTTATGTCTGATTTCGTTTTCGTGTGCATTTCGAGGGGTTTGGGGTGGTTGGGTGGTTTGGGAGTGCAGCGCAGGGAGGTGTTGTGCTCAATGCACGCATATTGTTGAAATTATGTAGCCAAAGACCTGGCCAGAAGGGGCGGCTGTTGGCGGGCAGCGCTCTGCCTGAATGTCTGTGAGTGTTCACCTTTTAAGCTCTTCAACGTAGCTCGAAAGTGTTCTGCACAGTGGTAAATGTTAAAAAAAAAACAGCATCTATTTATGAAATGAATGGAAATAGCTTTAAATAAATTATATTATAGCTAAATCATTCTTTTCTAAAGTCATTGGGATTTATAGATTATGAATAAATTATTATAT